GGAAAGATAGCTATTACTTGAAGAGAAGCAGAGCTCCAGCATTTACTACAGGCAGAGGGAAGGAACAGAAAGAAGGAGCAGCCTTGCTCTTTCATGCCTCTTGCTAAGGGTGGGAGAATGCCAAGAATTGCTAACAAAAGTGTCTTCTGCAGTGTACACACCCTGCACACAGGCATGCAGGCACTCAAGGAGTTGAGAGGCAAGGCTATCTCCTCTGAGGTGTCCTCAGCACTGGGCAGTTAATGCTCCTGCTATCATATCTGTTACTATGAACTGTGCATCTGAAAAGTGATAAAAGTAGAGTTTTGATTGAACTGCAAGCACCCGTGGTCTCTGTGTGCTGTTATTAAGTGTTGATATGCTTATAGTATATTATTCTTATGAAACCATACAAGTAATTACACGCTTCTGCATATCCTTATAGAAATTATTCAATAGTGGTGTTCTGCGTGGCTGAACTGCCGTGCTGTTCTATAGCACTGGGAGGTGATTTCAGCGGGTCACAGGAAATGCCTCGGAGAGCCTGTGCGTCACAAAGTACTGCGTGCTGAAACACGCTGCAGAAGTTCACACTAATGCAAAAATAAGTCTGGCAACATTATTAAACAAATGGCATGTTTAATGCTCCTGAACTTAAGAAATAAGAAAGGCTGTTGCTGGGCCCATTCCCAGTGATAGAAACATCTGGGACCCTCAAGAACAGAGTATTAAAGATCTGAGTTGCATGCTGTACTAGTGACAAGGACCAAATATAGATGAGACAATAAAATTATCACCTGGCCCCATTTTATTTAGGATCCAGAAGTTGAATTCAAGGATCTGGGAGTGAGAAACTAGTGTGCTAACATTTGGACCTACTGAAATGTTTTGCTTATCTAAATTTCACGTTGTCTGGATTCTGTCCACAGAATAATAACTAATTTTTTGTAGCACCATCTTTCTTACGCACATTCCACACCATAAGCTAGTTGTTAGCTAGTTTCAGTTGTGTTTTTACCTGAAGATTTTTGTAGTGAACAGTACTTCTGCAGTGACTTGTCTTTGCTGTCTCTTCATTTGTGTAGAAGAGTCCGCAGAGCTTGCAGTAAAACCCAGTTCTAGGCACCACAAATTCCACACCTATTGAGAAATTCTGAATTACATTAAAGTGTCAGTTGAAATCCTTCCCCTCCACAATAAACTTGTTTTCAAAGCAAAAAATTGCTGTTTAGTTAAATGACACAGATATGAAGACTGAATCCTGGATTCACTTCTGTGATATCCCTAATTTTGCAATACTGAGCTGCAGTTTAAAATCCTGTGCATTGCAAATACACCTTCCACTTCTCTCTTAGATATTATACATATTTTAAAATGTACCTTCTCATGCATAATATTGACTGGAAACGTCACTGTGTAACCTCAAGGGCTAGAACAGTACTTATTAACAGTAAATTCATGCTTAAGTTACACCTATTGCTCTTTAGGATGTACCTCTTCCAGATGGTTTACTCATGGTCAGCATTTACACATTAAAACCAATACTTTTGCATACACTGAAAGTATAATCAATACTTTTATGACAAAACCTTTTAAATTACCAAGTATTTTTCATATCTATTCCATATATAGTCCAAGGGAACTTATTTCATCTCATCAGCGATATTAGCAGCTATCTTTTGCCATTCATCTGGAATGAAATTAGCAACAATCTATAATCAAAAGCCTGTTTCTTTCAACAGCTACCCCTCTGTCATATACCCCATTCCTTCACTCTCCTCACATCTGTTCTGAAAAATAAATACAGCAAGTAGCCTTAAAGTGACATCTTGTTGTAAGCTCTAGGTATTGCAGTGGGCGGCATCGCAGGCCGAGGGCAGCCTGGGTGTCCGAACGTACCCAGGGGAATGCTGAGTTCGGTGAAGACGTCCTCTTGTTCCCAGCCTGGCGGAGAGTGCCTTCTTTTAGTTTCTACCTCTGGGTATTCCAGAGGTCTCATTTCGAGGTACCTAGAATTTGCTTAACAAATGAATAAATGTATTGAATGAAAACAGTTTATTAATTTAAAGAGGCGTTTGTAAACTTCTTGGGAACACTTTCTGGGTGGACCTATAAATGAAGTAAAATCTGGAAAAAATGCTTTTCCATTCAAATCAGAGGCCTACTCAGTGCAACTGCAACAGCTGTACTACGCTGTGCAGTCACCCCTATTTCTCCCAGTAGAGCATTTGTCTATTTCTAATGTCATGTTCATGTTGTTTTTTCTTTTCATATTTTGATCGCTAAATACGTCTATAACATTATACATGCCTCTGGCACAAGCATGGTCCAGCTGCAGCGCCGAAACCACGTATGGTACTGCATGACCAGTGATGGAACTGGGCTAACACAGGGGCTGCTGGGAAAGGGGGAGCCAGCAGGACCTGCTGAGAGCAAATCTCCAAACTGCCTAAGGAGCTGTGTGGGCAGAGCAAACCTTCCTCTTCTAGGACCCCTGCAGGCATCACTGTCATCTTCCCCCTGGAGCCACTCTTCTCCCATCCTCAGCTCTCCAGGGGATAGTTTGTGCTTTATGGCTCCTGGCCACCTGAAGATTTTGGTTCTTGGCCAGTAGGCATGGCATGGTTGGTCCCTGCTTACCAACATTAATGGACATAAGCAGGAGATTCAAGGTGGGGAAAACAGTGAATTGATTTGCTGAGGCAGATAAAGCCAGTCAAAAGAACTTCCCAACGTGTGAATTGCTTTAATTTAAAAAAATGAGAAATTTGTTATCACAGAACAACAGAATTACAGATAAACTGGTCTGATTCCTATTCTTCAGTTCTTACATCAAAGAACTGGTTCCCTTACCCTGACAAAATGTCTATTGCATTGCAAATTTCACCTTGATAAGGGACATATTTTCTCACAAAACAAATATATTTTTTTCCCAAACCAAACCCTTCCTGCCTTTCAAGTCTGTAGTTCAAAGATCTGCAATTTCTGGCTAGGAGAATGCATTTTTCTTCATTGTTTTAAACATGTCTATTACATGATTTAAAAAAAAATAATATAAAATCCTAACTGGTTGGCTTTCAAGTTAACTTGAAGCCCATTCCAGTTTCCAAATCTGCAGCAGGGATCCTGGAAAACCTGCAAGCTTCAGTTAGCTCTTCTTAAGACACCCAGGGCCTTTGTAGCAACTTAAGTCCCACTTAAGTTGACTTCTGGGCTTCTCAGCTGGCAGCTGCATTTGCAGAGAGCCTCGAGCCTTGCACTGCAGATCCCACATATCAAGTCCACGGCAGAAAGCTGGGAAGCACAAGCTCCCCTGGAGCTTCCAGGCTCCCTGCTGGCAAGTTGGAAGCCGAAATGCTGAAAACACTGAAGTAACTATGCTTTGGGATACCCAACTCTTTCGTCAGCTGGCTGCTCTTTAAGTGGGCAGCCCAGGGGAGCCAGCCTTGCCATTCCCAGTCCCAGGGAATTTGTGTGGCAGTATTATCTCCAAATATGCAAAGCCTGGCAAGGTGCCTTCAGGCCAAACAGGTAAGTATTGAAAACTGAGCGAGTTTCCCCCCTTCCTGGGGGAGGAAGTTAGTTCAAAACCAGACATTCACGTTATGTGTTCCAGCATTTTCTGGTGGAAAATTGCACTCTCAAAAACCTTCCAGCAACTTCTGTTCACAATCCCTTCTCCATCACACAGACTCTGGTAGCAACAAAAAAGGTTTTTTTTTTTCCTGGCCAGCACGGTCTATGTTGTTTTCACTTCACCTTATTACACACAGCCCATTCACTCAAGTTTCATTTGAAAGTGTGACGAGGAACTGAACTCACTTTCAGACACTCAAGATCCTTTTTTTCCCCAACAGCTAAAATATTAACAGACAGCTATGATTACACTTATTGGCATTATCTCACAGCATCCCCTATCAGTTATATTAAAGGCAGCAGGCGGTAAGTAACAGGAGATAAGGTGAGTCCTAACAAAAGGGACGTATTTGCGTGAACAGGGACTGAGAAGTAACAATCTACGGATGATTTCCATGTACTAACACTTTAGTACAGTGTGTGTGTGAGAATACCCACCTTGTCCAGGAGCCAGCCAGACATTACAGATACTCTTCTGTTGACCTTCAGAGACTGTCACTCATTTCATTGACTATTCAAAATAAATTTAGCAGGGCACTGAAAGAGTTCATCTAAACTCATGTGAACCTTGACATGACAATTATAGCAGCTTATGCCTTTCAGAAAGCTTGCAAGCTGCTTATCATATTTCCTTTACACTATTCAGCTAAGAGCCTCTAATGGTTTAGCTTGGCGAAAGGCACTAGGGTTCTTTTACTGAGCCGTTCCAAGGACAAGTCTTGATACTATTAGCGACATTTATTCTTGTTAGCAATAAATTTCAGTCTACTGTCAGAGAAAACATGCAAGGCTCTCTGCAGGCTGAAAAGAAAAAAACCAGTAGTTACCCTTGGCCTCTGGACACTCTTGGCTTCCATGTCTTGTTTCTTCACTAGCGTTTTTAACAAGCATTTCCATAACTTCTCTGCTCTCAGCTCCTTGTGATCCCATCTGTTTGTAATCATCTATAAATGTATCAGGGAGCTGGAGAGTCTCTTCTTTCAGATGAACAGAAGGTATATGGTGATCTTCGGGCTCTAAATGAGTGTCAGAGCTCTTATCAATTTTTCCTTCCTTCTGCTGGGGATCAGACTCCTTAGCAGATTGGTCTTCTTGCAGTTCCTCTGGCTTCTGCTCAGGGTCCAGACTTAGGCTTGATGCTTCAGTTACAGCATCATCATTATCATCATCCTCGTCATCATCCTGACAGCCACTAGAAGCTACACTGCCCTTTACTGATCTGAAGTTAGTTTCTAAAGCTTTATGGGCAAATTTGTCTTCACTCCTGGTTAAGTGGCTGTGATCATTTTTCAGTTCTAACATGGCTGACATACAGGTACACATTTCTGAAGCAGTTTTATTTTTTTGATCAACTGGTACGATTTCTTCAAGCTCAGTTATATCAGGCTCCATAATTAGATCATCTTCTCCCACTTCATCTACTGTCACTAATTCCTCCATGTTAGCAGGATACCAGGTCTCACCTTCTATCTCACTTCCACTCTCCCAGTCTCGGTCCTGTCACAAAGATGTAAAACATTTGAAAGATCAGTGATTATAGATCATCACTGTTAAAAAGTGGGCTCTGAACATCAGTAACCAGGAAGAACTTTGATCTGGCCATGCCTAACTCCTCTTGTATATTAGTTTCAAAGAACAATACGCCTTGGGTGTTGTGGTTTTAAACCTTATGCACAAGGACAAGTAATCTCCTTCTAATTATCACATAAACGTCACTTCGTGGAGATTCTGTAACTGCCTTGGGGACTACAGTCTCTCCAGTCTCCTCCTTACTTTTCCATAAGCAGTAGAACAAGGCACAACCTGCTATACTTTATTATGCAACTGATGCTCCTATGTGACCTCCAAGGAAATGAAGCTCTCCCGTTCCTCTACCTCCATCACAGGGTGGCAAAATAGGCAGCACAATGAGAATATACTGATTCCCAGTCTAGCCACTGTGGCTTTCACTTTGCTAAACTAGGTCCTTTACATTCCTACGGTGACTGAGAAAACGTGGCTACCTTCTGCAGTCATTTCCTTCCACCAACAAGAGCCCTCTGCCAGGGATTGTGTTGGTAGAGATTGGCTTAGACCTTAAGAAAAATCAGTTTTACAGTTATACTCCAAGGTACATAATCTGAAATACCTCATACATGCACTTACAGACCTACAGGACTCAGATACTAATACTGGACTTCAGAATTATTAGAATTATAAGGTATATGTTACTTTTAAGAGACCCTTGCAGCTTAGATTTCAACTCCTAGACTCCTCGTGTACACATAATCTATTAATAATCTGTATTCTCCTCCTGTTTGGCCATTGCCACACTTCCCCTCCTAGAATCCTAAAACAGCACGAAAACTCTGGGAGTTGACACTGTTCTTGCCAGGAGATCAGTTTTCTACAGCAACAGATATCAATAGCTTCCATATCTGACCATCAACCCATGACCCTACAGATATGAAGCTGGAGGAATTCCAAGGACATTGCTGTCCCTGACTGTGATGCTGCAGAAGGGGTGCTGTAAAGACATTATTTAATTAAAACCTGAAACAATCATAAGAGGCTACTATCATCTAGTCCACCTAAGGCCAATGTTCTGAAAAGTTTTCATCATTAGTCCCCTCCTTTTCCATAGGACCACATCTATTTTTGGGCATGCTTCACAAAGTTACACAGTTCACTTGGGCATACGTTACTTACGGTTGCCAGTGCCAAGGGCTATGCATGTGAAGCAATGTACATGGGCAAAGAGCAACTAAAAAAAGAGTCCTGAAGACTTCAGGAAAAGATATCCCTTAAAGCAGAGGTCAAGATAAGGCAAGTTAATTTAGACAACCCCCTTCTATAACCCCTTTACAAGCCTTTCTATGTGGGTTTAATATTTCAGCTGGGAGAATGTGCTATCAAACCTGGGTTTGTCATGGAAATAGCACCAACAACATGTCACCAACCTTCTCTTTTCTGGTGTTTTCCAGAATCTCTCCAGATTCTTTTCCTTGTTTATTAGCTGAAGGTGAGCTCTTCTCTGGAACTTGCTCCTCTTTTCCAAGCTAAAATAAATACAACATATACACGTATAGCAACACACAGCGGTGCTCTAATAGGTTTCTATTCTGGGTGTAGGGAAGCAAAGTCACTCACAAGGTCACATTCTTTATTTCTAAAGTTTGTGTAAGTCAACTAGGCTGTGGGAAAAGACCCAAGAATTGGATTCCATTAGCAAAGCTGCACAAATAAGAATTAAGAAAAAGACATTTCAACAAAATCAGAGAGATGTAATTTATATCATAGAATTGGCTAGAAGACAGGTGGGGGAGAATGTGAGTTCGTTAATTTCCAGCCCCCACTCCTCTGTTCTCTACCCACATCTGTTATGTTGGCTCAGGCATGGTAAGGAGAGCAGTAGTGTTAAAACTCTGCAAAAGACATCAACTGTTCTGTTTATTGATGTAGGATCAGTTGAGAATGCAACTGTTTGCACAGTTCATACATTGGAGGAGAAAAAACACACTACGTGGCACTTGGTACAAGAGGGGCAAAGCAAAAGTGTGAGTTCAAAACATTCAAATCTATTTCTTCCTTTTAAAATAAATTATTAGCAGTAGTCCCTGCAGAGGTATGCCTTTAACAAAGCCACTTTAAAATAACTTGAAAAACATGCAGAGGAATGTGCAACACTGGTGATTTAGGATGCTGTCTGACATTTCCCTCTGACATCTCCTCCCAAGGAACCATCCATCACAGTGAAATACCAGCCAAAGGAGAAAGATGACAAAAGGTGGTACAGACACACATACCTATGGCATGAGGTATTGCTGCTGCTTGTTACAGAGACTATCTGAGTTACAAGATCTACAGATTTCCACCGACCTTGCCCCCACATGAGAATAACAAACACAAGGTCAACTAAAACAACCAAAGATGGCCCTGGCAGCACAAAGTCACAAGCTAGAGATGGACCCCTGGTCAGCAAAGCAGCTCCGCAGCCTCATGTGCCAGCATCCCCGGGGGGGGACGGCAGCAGTGCATCACCAGGGGCACTGGGGGAGGTAAGGTGGCCAAGAGCCAGTAACAAGATCCCCATAGAGTGGGGACATGAGCATAGGCTCTACTGGGACTGAGCGAATAAGGCATCTTGATCTGTTCCCTCTCCACTTTTTCCCAGTGGAGAATCAAACCCACAAATGCTGCCACTTTACCGAATGGGAATATTTCTCCAGAGATCCCATAATTTTACAGATGAGCTGATTCAGTGATTCTGCCATGGGAATTGATTCCTGCCAGCACATTGAAGGGAGTGGTGTGAATTATCCCTGCCAACAGCTGAGGGTAGGGACATATGATTAACAGAAAGCAATTGCTCTGCTGAGTTGACCAAAACGAAAATGTTCCTCATTAAAAGTTCATTCCCCATTTTAGCAGTTTAAGAACCAGTTCCCTATATTGTCCTACAAATATTGCGCATCCCTGTAAAATACCACTAACTCCCAGATAACTCAATCCACATCACTGGTAGTGGAAGGAGGTGATGGGTGCAGGGAGAGCAGCTATGGGGTATTCTGCACAGATTTAGATGAGAGAGCAGTAGGGCAATTGCCTCTGCACACACAACCTGCATGCAAACAGGAGACTGTCACTTGGTTTTCTTCTGAGTTGTCTGTCCTCTTCCCCTCACTGGTTACCCAGAGGTCCTATGCTTGACACAGAAAGACAATGTCCATGTACCCAATACCATAACGGTGTAATAGATCTGCATGATCTGGGCAAAAACATAGACAAGATAACCGCTCAGACCTCTTCTAGGACTACACTCCCAGATTTTATCATGGCAAAACATTGCATGTCACCAGAACCACACTCACAACACCTGATTTAAAATATTTCAGAAAATATATTACTTCAGCATTCACCTTCTTCTTACATACAGTTTCAGATTTCTATTTACCTCATTCTCAGGAGCCTTGGTTTCCTTTCCATCACTGCCTTCAGCAGCAGCATCTTCCTCTTGGTCTTTTTCAGCTTTCTTCACCTTATTCTTATCACTTTGTTTTTGCCTGGAGCCCTCAGATGCTTTGCTGTGCTTCTGTTCAGCTGCCTCCTCCCTGGCAGCGTCCTCACTGTAAGAATGCCTGCGTTCCCTTAATTTTGTCTCTTCCTTTCTCTTAGATCTCCCAGGTAAATCCTGCAGCTGCCTCTGAAACTTGTCAGATTTTGACTTAGAGGTTTTTCGGTAATAGTCATCTTCCCTGCTCTTGTAGCCAGAAAAAGGGTGAAGGGAGCCAGGGGAACCACTCCTTAAGTATTTTTCTCTGTGCCCTCTGCCTCCTTCAATCCGTTCATCCAAATCAAACTTGTCCAGCTGTCGGGAATAATGTTTCCTCTCATGTACCCACGTGTCAGTCCTGTCCCTCTTCTCATCCCCATTCTCTCGCCATTCTCTGCTGTCTCTTTCCTCTTCTCGTCGAGAATACGGGGACTGATCCCATGACTCTCTCCCATTTCCCCAGTCAGTCCTGCTGGTCCCCATCGGGCTGTGGGGTGAACTGCAGGAAGTAAAGCTGGGAGTGTGGGATCGGGGCGAAAGGGAGCGGCTTATGGGGCTGCGAGAGCGGGGCCTCTCCGTGCCATACCTGCTGCAGAGGGAAAAGGCAGCTGTAACTGTCTGACTCACCATGGTCTACCAAGTTCTTGTACACTGGAAACACACGGGGACTGCCCTGGTGCCTGTGAACCTGAGACCCCAGGCCTTTCACAGACATGCACTGCACAGCTGCAAACACAGTGAACAGGAGAAAAGGCAATGTCATATCCTCAGAGCTTAACTAAATCCCCATACATCTGTCAAGAATATTTTCATTCATTCTTAAAAGCATCTCATAGGCATTTAGCATTAAAAGTTTATAATATGTTAATACCTTTACAATGACTCTAGTGTCTGTATCCTTAATACTCATCTTGGGCATCTCTGAGACAAAAGTGACAAAGGTCATCTGTTTAAAAGAGATGTTTTAGGACTGTGATTCCTCTCCATTTTTGCTGGAAGGTCCAGAAGCCAGGCAGATCCAAAATACACCCAAACACATTACAATGTGAACTGGCTCCTTCCCTCTAGGTCTTGCAGCACTCCCAGCCTTTACACTTTTCACTCAAGGGGGAGAAGAGGGGAACGGCTTCATTCGTGTGTTCTTCACATGCCAGGTGTATTTTCTCAGTCATCATCATCAGTAGGAAAGAGTTCATTTATTTTCATAACATGCACAGTTTCAATCTGATCTCATTATATAGGCCCTGCACCTAACTGTTGTACCACTTACATTTTTACAGTGATTTGAAGTGAAATCCAAATTAAGAAAGCAAATGAGGTAAGAGAGGGAAGCACATCGATAATGCTTTTTCTACCTGCAGGTTTACAGACTTATACAGGTCCCAATTCCAAACTATAGAGAAACTTTACCTGTCCACTTCACGCAGCAGGTCCCTCTCCCTCTGCGAGTGAATGTCCTGGATGATAGCAGCCACATTCTTACCTGGTTTCTAAATGAGACAAAGACACTGTTTATCATGCTGCACTACTCTCCAAGCTAATACAGGTGATTTCTCCTTCAAGAAACAGCATTCATGCATCATTTAATTATACTACTACTGAGAAATATTTGGGTTCAGTGTTGTAGTTACAGTCTTTTCTGTAGCTGGTATCTCAATAACATGATCAAACCAGTAAAATGATACAAATGGAAAATTTGTTCCATCATGTTGTAGCACTGTCTCCTCATACTTGGCTGCTGTAACAGGCTTTGAAAACCAGCTTGTCCTTCCCTGATACACATTCACTACAGAGTATTTTCTAGGAATTGGATGTAAGAGGAAACAAACCAGATAATTTTTCTAATATCTGAATTAAATATGTATAGCAGCCTATCTCTGGCCCTCCAGGAATGAACTGCCTTCTCTTCATCTCAGAGTTTAGCTCATTCTGCAGTACAGCTCTAAGAGACTATGTTTAGACACAAGAGCTTCTTGTGCAAAGCTAAGTGCAAGAAAGATATGTACAGGAAGTGCTGATTACTTGAGATTCAGGATCATTTACAAAAGAAGCACTACTCCAGGCTGGAGTGCACACACTTCATCAAACACTTGGAGCATGCACAGCTAAGCAACATAATCATGCAGGAGCTCAGTGCAGTTTGTAGTGGTAAATAGCTCATGCATATTCCCCTTCCACGTTGCACTTTTGTTTGTTTGTTTGCTTTTAACAAAGAGAAAGGGCTTTTGCTCATGCAGAGAAAAATAATTCCATGACCTAAAAAACTGCCATTGGAAAAGAGAAAATCCTCCCGAAATCTAGGCAAATTCCCACACTCTCCTGGGTAATTCCTGTTCCGCCTCCATGTTAAGATGCATGGTCTCTGCCACCTTACATCTGAACTCCTCATCGCACCACACTAAGAAAGACTGCCCTGGTTTATGGACTTTTGGCAACTCCCTTAAGTCTCCTTAAACTATTATACATGTACAGGAGAGAAAGAGACTTTTCCAAAGGTCAAACCAAACCATCTGAGTTCCTTGTTTATCCTCAAGGCTGATAAAAGGCCCCTTAACCTCTTAACTTGGAACATTACAGTTATTTTATAAAATAACTTTGTGCTGTGGTAGATAATATGATATGAAGCTTTTCAGCTCTCCATTGCCAGTTCCTGTCCAGGTCTCCATGAAAAAAAAATACTCTCTTAGCATTACACATGGCAGTACTTAAGCTTCCATAAATATGCTCACAAGAGATTTTTGGACATCAGCCAGGTGTCTACATCAGAAGTGTCACAGACTCTACAGAAAAGTCCAAAGACTATTGCTCTGTCCTGACTCTATGTAAAAAATAAAAAAATCTTGCTTTTTAATTTAGGTCATTCACAAGAAAGAAAGAAAAAGAAATCTGTGTGATGTTTAGTCCTGCCATCACTGCTTGGCACAGAGCTTGTACTATGGCTCAAGCGTGCAAGCAGTGAAAAGCATTGCTTCAGGCTTAATGCCTGACTAAAAGGATAGGACCGCCTTATTCTTGCTGACATGTCGTATCTTACACAGGGCTGTATTTTAGACCTTTGTTAGACCAAGCAACGTGGGAAGCCTGCTCAGAGGGAAGCTCAGAAGGGACTTTTGAAATAATGGTATGAGAGGACCAGCGAAAACGGGATCTCTTCCAAGAGTTAAAATTTAGAACAAGAGCAAGCAAGTAGGTATAAAAAATCATTAACATACATTCATTATCTTTCTTAATTTCTTTTTCCATAATATTAAAGCATTAATTAGAAATCAGTAATCGGCAAAGATTTTTAGATGTGTTCTCCAGGGCATGCCATGGAAGCTCAGGAAATCTGATCAGGAATGACTGCCTTACCTTCAGCTGCAATTCCTTGTATCTTTTAGACATCCTAATAAGCAACTTGTCATCATTTATCATAGCAGGTTTTTCTTTGTAGTACTGCACCATGGCTTGTGCGGCTTCACTGTAAGCCATTTCCAGAAAAGCCTAGGACAAATGGGGAGAGCTTTAAAATCTACTACATAATTAAAAATACAAAGTATAAGAGAGAAAAGGGAGCACGATAATTTTCATTTGGATTCTTCTCATGCAAAATGTCTTGATAGTACAGAACTGGGTAGCTTTCCAGCCCTGGAGCTGAAATAGTAACACTCAGTCCATTGCTCAACTGCCTTTTAATTGCAAATAATGGTTTCAACCCAGCCATTAAAGCCAATATGCAACTTTAGAAGCCAGTTTAGTTAAAAACTAAATGACTGGAATCTGATCTGTCTTGATATACAAAAACATCACTTTTCCTTCTCTTCCTCACTGGTGCTTCTACACCATGGTCAGCTGCTGACAGGATGCAGAACTGCAATGCTGCAGCATGCGCTGCTCCCAAGATTGTCAGCTGTGTCTTGCAGAATTGCAAGGGATCCAGATAAAAGAACACCAGAGCATGTGCAGCCAGAATAAAGCCAAAAAGGAGTTTAAAAAACCTGAACAACGTTAACTAGCACTTTTATTTACAGGAAAATTGCACTTGATGTGACTGCAGTTTAACTGGTCGAAGAATATACTCCCAGCTGTGTAATGACTTCATTTTGAAACGTTAAGATCTCAAACATTGCCCCCTGGCATGGATTCTACATCCATCTGTACTGTCTACTGCAGGTATGTGAGAGAAGATTTTCTACTCTTCCCAGCCTATGACCACTGATAGACTTAAGCTACTTTAAGGTAGACGTAAGCTACCTTGAAGAAAGAGCTCTACTACGATCCGGTGCAGATTAAAAGGGAGTGAGTGAGGTGTCAGTGCCCCCTGTAAAGGCAGAGCTGTCCTTTAGCATGTGTGTGCCAGATCACCCAGCGCAGCCGTGGTCTGGGGGCTCTGCCACCAGCCTGTGACTGTAGTTACACCAGATCTGCCGCTGCTGTAACAGCTCAGCAAACAGTGTAGGATGGCCGAACCAGGCTAGAGCGCAAGTCATTCTTCAATGGCCAGTTCAGCTCTACAAGCATGGGTAAGAATAAATAAAAACCTTCCAAACAGAACAAGAGAAGTCTGACAGTAACCCTAACAAACAGCTGAGAGAAGGCCAAGTTATTAACTTAAAAAAAAAAATTACTATCATTATTATTACAGTTTTACAACACTGAGAGTTATTGTTTTTTCTTACAAGAGGCAGAGGTCTATTAACTATGAGGTCTTTTAACTATGAGGCAGTGGTCATGTGTATGCCATCATCTCATTCTGCGAACACCAATTTTTTTTTACTTTAAGAGCAGACTTCATATATTTAACTTTCTATTATTAAAAAAGAGAGTTTCCTCAAAAACTCTTGTCTTCATGTCAGTATGTCTTTATGCCAATAGATGTCAATACCGGTGACCCCAAATGCACAGTACCTGATTCGTGGATTTCATGAGGATATAGTTGGTAACCTTCCCAAATGGGAGGCCCAGGTTAATGACATCATTCTCTGTGCAGCTTCCCTCGGGGAGGTTGCAGATGTGAACAACTCGACCCAGTGTAGATTTCCTCTGGGGAAACTGGGGGAAAAAACAACTCAAAACGATGTTTTTACCTTAGATATTCCACCCACTAGATAAGACCTTACATTTCTGCAAAAAAATGAAACAATTCTGTTATTATGGACAAATATTCTTCTTTAAAACCTTGTATTTTAACATCCTGGTTTAGAAATACAAATGGGAAGGGAATTGTTTAACTACAGTGCAGCTTGCAATGGAGTCTCCATCCCTGGACATTACAAAGTCCAGAGAGGATATCTAGAAGAGATGCTCTTGTTCAAACAGGATTAATGATATTGCTGCAAAAGCTAACTTGCCACCTCAAACCTTACGGACTCCAGAGCTTCAGCTCCCTGGCATGTCACAGCAGAGGGCTGGGCTGCCATGGGCTCAGGCCACTGCACTGTACTCAGCACCAGCAAGGGTTTGGAGGCCCCTCAGTGTTTGGAGATAGAGGGTGCCCCTGCCATAGGGAGGTCTCAGCCCCTCCTGACGAGCTCCCTGTGGGGCCAGTATCCACCTGGTATGCCAGCACAACCCCTATGGCTCCTGTGCCAAGTCAGACAGCCTTCCTCAACCTGTCTGCATCTGTCTGTCCCCCTGGGGGCTCTGTGCCTTCCCTCCACGTGAAGGCACCATGCACTATTGCTAAGTAAAAGGCCTTTAGCAGGCAATACGCAACCAATGCACAAAAAAATGAGTATTTTCAAGTATTCCATAAACACCCATTTATGTGGTGCTGGTGGTGCCTGGACATATACTCACTGCAGTCCCTGCTGAATTTATGGATGTTAGAAAACAGTTTAGGTGACTACAGAGGCGGCCAGGACAGTAGGGGCTAAATTTAAATCCTCCTTCTGCCCTGGTGGAACGGACATGCAAGGGGTAAAAGTGGCCCCATTTAACTTGTGAGAGGACACACAGCTGTACCTCAGGTTGGAAAACCTACTACTTTCCTCTCTCATTACAGCACCACACGGTAGGAGGGACTCTTCGCCGGGTGGCATAGTGACCAGTAGACACGCAGAGAGGCAGAGCTCCCAAATTGGGCTGGCACAGGCGCATGGTGCCGGTGCGGTAATTGCTTCCCAAGGGTGGAAGTCTATTTTGGAGTGCTGGGGCAGTTCCCAAAGAGCTGCCTATCTCCCTGGTATGGAGAGCAGGCTCTACGCTCCTTGTGCAAAGAGGCACCAGGCTATACTCAGAGAGGAACATAATTTACCCCAGCTAATGACACACAAAACATCGCTCACACAGGATTAAGTCCTCCCAGACTGCTTCCCTGCTTATGACCTCTGCTGTTAGGATTTTACTCAAGAAGTAACTCTACCTTCAGTTAAAATTGTACCATTCAATGGAAGATACAAATCACGTAATCTTGTGGGATCAAGTTCACCAGAGCCATCACAAATGTTTAGCTTGTCAGCAAGTTCACAAGTTACAGAGCTAATGTTATCTTATTTACACCTTCACCCCACTACCTTCCCTCCAGGCTTCACCACTTAACCATTTGTGTATTTTTGCTGCAGCAAGACCCTGTATTATACAGTTGTCTGCTATTTAGCTTGCATCTTACGGAGCCTGCCCAGGTGTACAAGGCAAATCAACAAAGTGCCAAAGTCCAGAAGTAAGACGTGTTCTCTAGCAGAAAAATAACAAAGACCTGATCCTGAAAAAGATGAAGCAACTCAACTCCACTTGAATAGAAAAGGAAATGATGTCTGCATGCATCTGGCACGGCAGCATGTAGCGCACAAAGAGAAGAATACAACTACAGCTAGCAGAGGAATAGGAAACTTTCCTGACAGCAAATGCAGTCCCAGAGTAGGAACACCCCAGGTCACCCGGCACCTTCTGTTTGTTTTGTTAGATCTGTTAAGAGATGATATGTTAAGAGTCTATGGAACTAGAAAGACTTAGCTGTTCCCTACGTAGGCTCCAGAGCCCGTGTTCAGACACGTGCTCAGCAGTACATTAAATCAAACAACTGTAAGATGTTACCACCTCCCCACAATTGGCAATGGCTTAAATTAAAATGCTACACCACAAATCTGCTGTAATTCATGGTTAAGAAGTGCTCACATACTCATACCAGAAGTCGATGGACTGTACCAAGCAATAATCTTGTCAGCTGATGGAAGTTAAATTGGATCCATTCATTAAATAGAGCTGTAAATCACAGCCAGAAAAAAAATATACACCTTCCATATCCACAGTCGGGAAGTTAGAGGAGTGTGACAAGTGTTGAATGCAGTTTTCAGTAAGACTGTAAGTTAACTTCCTTTACAGCTGGTGTCTATGCGGGTTTACCAGTGCAGTTGGACAAATAATTTGATGCACAGTGGTGAAAGGTATCTCATAACATTTGCCATATTATTTCACCAATCAAATTTGGTGATTTTTTATTACTTTTTTTTTTGTTTCTTGCTTTTCAAATTCTTTATCCCTTTCTTGAGCTTTGCACGAATCTAATAAGAAACTGACACTCCCATCCCTCCCGTGCTAACAGCTCTTCATGCCTGAGTGAAGACTTGTAGCATTGTATTTGCCTTTTGAAGAGCGATAGAGTTATTTGCAGATGGATAGCACAGAGCAAGCTCTTCCAGAAATCTGAACACTTTGTTTATGATTACATGCAGGGTCAAGTATAATCTCCCACTGCTCAGTTAAATGGCAGCAGCTTAGCTGAAAGTGAATACTACTGCGCAAAGGTGTAATAAATTATAAGCCACCCAGGTTGTGGGGTGAATAACAGCTGGCAAACACGATCTTAACACCTCTAATATAGCTCCCTGTCCACCTGATGAGCTGCTGAAGAAAAAGAGAATTTATAGTGCCCAGGAAAATCAAAGTTATTGTTTCTTTTATCTCTCAGAGTACTGCAGGTCGTTCAGAAGGAGGACTTCTGCAGGCAGCTTAAATGATAAATAGTGACAGATTCTAAGGAGAAATGATACTGGTATTAGCAGTAATTTCATTTGTTGCAAGGTTGACAGACATGATGAAAAGGAACATTCCTCCACACCCACTGCTACTCCACCTCTGACCTTGGAGGCAGCCGTCATGAGCAGCTCTGCTTTGCTCCCTGCACACAGAGTGTCTATGACAGGCTGAAGCTAAAACCCCTTCAAATAACCTCTGTCACAGCAAAACCACTCAGTAGAAAATTGGTTGGATTAAACAAATCTGGGTGACGTTTCTGTAAGCAATGCCTGAGGCAAACTGGAGTGGCAGAGGGACACGACTCAGCCTGGCTTTCCAGAGTGTTTGAGACCACATCAGGATACATACACAAAAGCTAACAAGGTGAAAACTTGAACCCGTGGATTACTGCTGCTATTCCATGAATGCCCTAACATGAGTCCTTGATGTCTCCAGCTTTAATCGTAGCTTTCCGATGTATGTTGAGCTTCATTTTAACCCTAACAACTTCGTATTTCCATTATGTATATGATTTGCTTTTATTTGTCTTTTTTCCCCTTGTTTTTATTTTTTTCTTTTTCCTTTTAAAATCTTTCTGCTTTATCTGTGAAAGAAACACTTCTAATGTTATCCTTTTTTTCCTGACATTTTCTGATGATTGGGCTAGGAATTCAAGTTCAATTGAATGCAGTGGGGTGCTAATAAACCTAAACCATGGAAGACTGTACACCAAAGAAAACTTCCTGAAAGGTTACCAATGGCAGCAGATGATATAAATAGCACACTAAAATAAATAAGAAAAAGTTAGTCCAGTGTAATGAATTGATCTGGGACCCCCAGGTGAATAACGGTTAGCGAAGCTGCAGCCACTATCTTTGCCACTTTTGCTACCTGGGAGAAGGACCTCAGCATGGGAACGGCAGAGACCAATTGCTACAAATAAATAACTGGAGAGATGGCAAGCTGCTTGCTGGGATCAATACTCAGAGTAAGCAAAAACTAATCCAAATCTTCATTCCAAGCTGAAGCTGACCTTCCTGGGTTGAAAAGACTCAGAAAATGGGGGAAAAAGTCAATGGGGTGATACACACAAACCAATTCACTCCCCTCCCCAGATCCCTCTAACAAGCAAACAACTTTTAGCACTGGAAAAAAAAATTATAATCAAGCTCTGATTCGGAAAAAGTCAAAAGCATAAAAGAGCTGCAGGGAAGTTGAAACAATAGAGTGAATATTCAGATTATTGTCAAAAAGGAAGCCTTCACAGTTTTAACTCCAGTACGTAGAAGTCGCTTCTACAAGAATCTCGACACAGAGATCAGTTTGCTTAAGTACTCACTCTTACCGCTGATGGAGAAGAAAATGTAGAACCTGGCTGGCCAAAGGATCTTGCTGACGTAGTGATAAAAGATGAACCAACATTTGGTGGATAATCTAAATAATGGATTAAACACATTTAATGAAAATCTTAACTCATATTAATTGCATTAGTGTGCTCAGTAAGCAATGCCCCATTTACATAGTAATTAATTTCATAGTCTCTACACCAAATTATACACTGTTTCATTGTACTGTAAAGTCATGGTTTGAAAGAAAAAGAAATTCATACTTTGAAAGGCACAGTATTGGCTTTTAGCCTTTCTGTGCACAACCTCTAAAAAGTTTTCCTCGGAAACATGTATCACATTTCATTTAAAATGTCCACTTTTCCCCAGAGACCAACTTCCCTTTCAATTAAAAAAAAAAAGTGTCTTTAAGTATTGCACATACAAACATTCACCTTCAATACTAGATGGATTGAAAACTGCTGCATTATTTGGTGATAAATGCAGTGTTCCATCTGCTGAGCTTAACACACACCGGATACCAGTGCTGGAAAAGAAAGAAAAGAACTTTAGGAGCATGCATAATGTGCCATAAATATTAAAGCATAATTATTATACAGTAAATTCCCGGTGTAAAGCCACTGAAGTAAGGGATGCTCTGTTAGAAATTCAGTTGGAAGAGTGTCTCTAAAAGAATACTTACTTATCTGAAAAAGCCATACATTTTTGGATGTGAAGACTTCCCTTAATGTGCTGATCCCAGTCCTACGTTGAAACAAAGAGATTATGAGCATAGGAAAACCCTGAGACAAATTTACAAGAGACTGCTTCTCCATTCAGTTTAGCTTATTCTAAAAACAATATGGAGATGCTGAAGATCAAACTGTGTGATGCTGGAGCCAAGTGCACCTTCATCCAATGTGTTTACTGATTCATCATTTGTAGGTTAAATTATCAGTTACTTTACAAAAGGAGAGCTTCTCTGTATTAGTTTTTAAATCCAGTATATTTCTACTCATTCAGTTACTTTAGCTGGAGAGCTCATTCTGCAAGGCACTGAGCACCGTCAGCTCCTGCAATGTCCATAAAGAAGGTGCTCAGCACACAGGGCAGCCAGGACAGTGCTTATTCATTTCAGTAGATTAGTAAAATTTGTCAAAGTACTTTTAGCTGTTTACACTTCTGTGATCCAAATGAGGCAGTGTATTAAACACCAACAAACAGGTCAACCAAAACCCACCGTAATGACATTTTCCCTGCCCTTTTAAAATGTTTAATGAAAAAACAAAATGCCCAGCATTACCCTAGACGAGGGCTGCTTCAGCCAGGAGTAGCTGCAGCTAACACAGCAAACCCTTTTGCAAGCAGCTGCTCAACGAGTAAAAGGGAAACATGAAAGAGCAAATATATTCACATATTTCAAAGCCCCAGGGTGTGGAAGTATCAGGTACTATTTCATTTGCTGCCCATCTTCTTCTTATATAAATGCTGTTTTTAAATAAACATTTTATATAAATATTTTTGTCAGGCCACCATCAGCGTGAAAACACATGCTTTAGGTGCTGGTCCTGCAATGCGATGGAAAAGGCCACGAGGACTTGCTGAGCAGGGCTCACCAGGAGTCTAGAACAACCCCAGCCAGAGCCCACAGATGTCTGTGGGGCTCAGAAGGCCACATAAGTGGCCTTCACCAGACTTGACCTATATAATGTGACCTAGCACACAGGCTCTCTGGACAAGTGGGAAGCTGCTTCTCGAGGGTGAGGTTGAATTTGCAGCTCTCTTGGCAGTATGAACAGAGAAGTGGGAGCGTGGTCTGCACCACATGTGCTGAGCAGTTTCTTGCTTCCAGGCCAAAGTCACCGGGGACCCCGTGTCCTAAATTTTCCTTAGAGCTACTAGAAGGAGAAAGAGATCCCAACAGAGGAATCGTTAAAATGATTTTATCAAAATGCACCGTTTTGTTTACGCAAGCTGCTTCCACATGGCTGCTTAGGGGGAAGCCTTTGGGATCAGAAACCCAAAGAGAAAGGGAGAGGCAGGTGAAACCACAGATGTGCGGTTACAATACCGGCCTGAGAAGCGGGGGATCGGCTTCAAGATCCTCTTCCCCCCGCTTTGGGCCCATGAGATGAGCCGCGACCCCAGCCCGGACCTCGTGTTTCTCATGCTGTATATCGCCGCTTTTCACAGTGAGATGCGGAACAAAACCAGATCTCCAAACCCCAGTAATCACCACAAAACAGATGTACAACGCCCTGCGCGAAACTATGGCCCTTTGTCTGTGCTTCTCTCAGAGCACCTCTGTGGCAATGGACGTTGGCAGCAGGGGCTGGCAAGAGGTGACGGCCAGATGAGTCACCAGACAGCCCCTTCAAGGGTCCAAACTGTGCCCCGGGGGTGCCCTAAAACCACTCACCTTCAGATCAAAGATCTTCTTGTCACACAGGGCGCAGACGTGGGGGAAGTGGAGAGGGGCCGCGCCACGGAGGTCGCCCAGCTGGTGTGGTGGCAGGGA